TGTAGAGGGCAGTGTCACTGGCCCTCATATGTGGGATCCGAACCGGGGCCCTCTGGCGTCCCAAGCCAGCTCTTAACCACTGTGCCACTTGGCCGGCCCTCATAGCATTTTTATGGCAAAGGTGCTATGTGGCTTTGAGATAACTCTGACCTGAGACCCCCTTCCCAGTGTAACCACAGGAAAAACAGTTACCAGACAGTGGAGCCACCACCCAGCCCAATCCTGCCTGGTGCATTCTCCACAAATACCCACTGCCAGTATCCACAGTGACCTCTGCTGGGCATAAGATAAACCAACTTGAAATTTGGCAACTAAGATTCCTGTATGGTGTGCAGGCTCAGGGTGGGTGTGGGCATTTTTTGGTGAAAACCACAAACCCTTCTATTTGGGGGCTCCCTGTCTGCTTTTGGAGTCTTGAGTTGATGTTCTTGTCTGCAGTTCCTTCAAGCTAGTTCAAGCAGTGGGATTGCCACAGTTCTCACCCGTACGGAAATACTTAAAGAGGACCTAAAGGCCTTTGTTCAAGTTTCCATCTATTTGGGGGTGGGCATTTTATGAGGAAAATGCATGGAAAACATTTATCAAGATCAGGGAGGTTTAAGCATCTTTCCTGTTTCTTCCTCCCCCTCTACGATTTATTTCTTTTTTCCCTATTCCACTTTTATCCTCTTCTCTTTTTTATAGTCAATAACTTATTTTTCAAACATAAGCCTTCTTTGCTTCTCAACAATGTGGCCCCAAAATGCAGCTATCAGAAGGCTATTACTAAGTACAAAGAGCTGGCAAACACTGGCTCTTCCAGGCCTAATCACGGGAGTAGGGGAGATGGGTGAGATAAGCTCCGTCTTACATGCCCACCTGGTGACATGTATCTTTTCTGGATTTGCTGTGAAGGGATTTCATGCAGCCACAAAATCTTTCAAGCTCCTCAAAGAAAATGAGGTATTTAAATACCTGGTATTGTTCTTACTTTGGCATCCATGTGATTTGCATTGAACTACGTGACTCAGTATCATAAAGTAAAAATAGGACTTAATATCTTCCCTGCCTGTTTAGAAGGTGACTGCATATGTGTGCTGTGTTCTGCATTGGAGAGTGAAAAGCTCAATTGTCTCATAAATTGAACCAACTGCTTATTCTGATTACAGAATTGCGTTCAACATCACCTACTGGCAGTAACATTATTTTTTGTTTTTTAAATTCATACATGAATCTCTTTGTCTTGTAAAACCTTTCTTTCAATTGAAGTTAATCAAGAATGTTTAATCCAAAAAGAAAAAAGAAAAAAGAAAGAAAGTTTAATCCTTGTAACAAAGCCAAACAAATTAAATATCAGCAGATACAGGAAGATGTGGGTGGTGTTTCTGTTCTTCTTAGGCTCAAAAAAAAAAATTCTTGGAGTTCATAAGGGAGAAAGAAACTACCTGAAGATTAGGTTCAGTAAATCTTATCAGTGGACTTAACGGGTATCTGAGGAGAGGTTCCTCAGAATTTTCCAGAAGGGTTAGTCATATTGAAGAATTTAAGCATGCATGCAAAAGTGGCATGCATGCTGGGAGTGAAACGGCAGCCCTTGTGATTCCTAACCCCCTCATACTAATGCAGCCTTTCTGGGAAAATTCCCCCAAGACCCTCCTTCTCCCTCAGGCAGCCAGCAGCCTCGAAGGAGCGGAGCTGTCCAAGGTTCTGCAGCACGGGCCTCAGCTCCAGTGAGAAGGG